TCAAGTTCAATCTGACTCTATATAAGGCAGCATAAAACTGCCCTCCACCCACCCACCCCACCCCCCACCCCCGAGTTCCAAGACTTTAAGTCTTTATTTAAATGATAGACTACGCAGACAGCCTCATCTTTCATGCATGGATCAGCTGATAGTTTCAAATCGCCAGCCTTGTGATTAGCAGCTCAGAGTGTAGCCCACTACACAACAGAGCCCTTCAATACATGGAGATTACTACAAAAAGTTTCCTCCCTGACTGGTCACCTTTTTTCCTCTACCCAACAAAGCAGATTTCCAAGCAACAGCCACTATAATCTATTTAAGACAAAATTCATCCGTATTAATTTCCAAGTTACAGCAATTAAAAAAAAAAACCCCAAAGCATGATCCAGAAATAAGCTCTGGGCTCCCACTACATCCTAGCAACAATTTAAAAACAATCAGTCCTTACATCACGACCCTGATAGTTACTCACCTTCATGAAATGATCAGTGAAAGAAGGGTGCTGCAGCAGAGTGTGGTGAAGAAAGCCGATGGTGCCTGGCTATCAATCGAAATAGTGTCTGGGGTCTTAAATGCTATGTTCAAACAAGAAGTCATCCAAGCGAGGAGCCACACAGAAGAAGCATACCAGCTTGTGTGACCCAAATATGACAATTACAAAATTCGAATATGGTGAAGAGAAAACTATCAGAGCTAAAATTCTCCAATTTGGAGAAGACAGTGAAGGACCGTGGGAGCCCAAAACCCATCTGCAGGATATGTAGTCAGATCTAGCTGCTGGCAGATCCACTCTAGCTAAGGCAAGAGTCCCCATCAACCTTACTACCAGGCAGAGACCATTGTAATCCTGATTACGAGGGATTGAACTTGGTACAGGGCCAGTTGGCCACCCTATAGACACAACCTGAATTAGTACTGGGTGCAAGTATCTCTTAGATGTCCCATGACAGGAATTTCTTCCCTGGCTTTTTGAATGTTGATGGAGATCTTCTCTCTTACACATCATTTGTATTTTTGCCTTTATGCTAATGTGATCTTATCCTTACCACATTAGCGCAATTTGTCTTGCACTGTTTTCTGTTGGGTTTCCCAGCTGTGAAGCACAGGAGGAATGGGTGTATGGTGCTAACAACTGACACAAGGTGTTGTAGGGAATGCAAGGGTAGGGGATGGGGGGGTAGGGAGGGAAGGGGGATATGGGGAGCCAACAGTGAGGGTTGGAGGGGGAAGGGATCACTAGAACTGACAGAAATTGCATAGCTCAGTTTGAATGAGATGTAACAAGGGGGTGGGGGTGGGGGTCATATAAGGTAGACGTGGTGGGATTGGACAACTCCCATTGGTGTGACTGAACGATTTAACTGTTGAATTGTATGATATGAGGATTATGTGCCAATAAAACTGTTGGGAAAAAATATTCAGAGTCATTCCCCTTGCTCAAAATTATCCAGTGACATTTATACTATATTTTAAAAGGCAAACTTTGGGCCGTCGTTTATTCAAAGACCTACATCTAATTCAAGAGTCAGTGTGGTGGTGATGGTGTGGTCAGGTGCCATCAGGTTGGTTCTGGCTCACAGTGGCCCCATATACAACCCTATGTCTGAAAGAAACAGTGCCCCAGCCATGTGCTGCCCTCTTACATCAGTCCCCACCGGCTCACACCACTTCATTCTGCAAAGATGCCAACATTTCTTCCTTGGGGCCTTGGTCTTAATAACTTTACAAGCCCAGAATGCTCTTTTCTATTTGTTCAGCTCTTTCACACACATTTTGTTGTTGTTAACTGTCTGTATCTCCCACTAGAACAAAAGCACTGTAAAAGAAAACAACTTACCTTATCTTATTAAGCACTGTATCTTAATACTCAAAACAATATGAGGGTGAACAAATGAAAAAGTTATTTAAAAATAAACCATTGAAAAAAAATTTAATTAAGAAATAAATAAACCAGTTATTTAAAAGAAATAAACCATCTGACCGAAGTGGCTGAGGTATCACATATTATTATGTGAACAATGGCATACATCTTTCGCCCATTCCTTTCCCTCACTGTGTTGACTATTGGATGCAGCGCGGCTCCAAATTTGCCCTTTGTAACTAATTCTGAAAACTAGCCCCTAACAGATGGATCTGCAATATTTTCTTAGTGTGAAGATATAGAAGTCCTTGATTGTACAATTCCCTACAAAGACACAGTAATAATCTAAGATTTATAGTCAGAAGACATGAAATCCAATCATGGCTTCACCAATTACTAATCAAAATAAACTTGCGTAAATTACTTAGCTTCTCTTTTTCATCTGTATAACATAAATTATAATCCCTGTCTCTCTCAGAAGCTTGTGGTTAGGATCAAATGAGATACTGCAGAAATGAAAAGCTGTACACAAATGGAGAAATTATTGTTTTCCAGAGTCTATCAGTTCAACAAAATTGTACTGAGCTCTGGTCCTAGATGATAGGTGCTATGCTAGATGCTGGAGATAGAGAATTGGAATTAAGACCGAGCCCTTCGCTCTCAAAAATCTTACATTTTAGTTAGGGAGGGAAACGCATAGTCTCAGTAATGTCACCACAAGTTTGTAATGCAGCATGCCGCAGGAGCACAGAGGAGGTACACATGGGGACTTACAGGAGGCTCCTGAGGAGCCCAGTGGACCACCCTGGAGTCTCAAAACATGGATACAGGAAGGAAAGACTTCTTCTCAAAGGAAAAAATAATGGCAAAATTTCACGAGTCCTAAAGGATGCTCAGAAGCTGGAATAGTAATATTATTATAATGATCACATGATCACAGGTCAAGAAAAAGCTTTCAGATCTCTCCTGGAGTAAATTCTTCCATCAACTTATATTTTCCCCCCCGCACCATTTATGTCATCCTCTAAATCAAATATCTTTATCTACTTCAGGACAATTTTTCTCAACTTATAAAAGCATGTCCATTAATAAGGCTGACACATCTCAACTACATACTCCAAGGTCAAGACCTTTCTCACTACAAAGGAAAGTAATAATAAAGAGAGTATAGTGTCAGATATCGGTTTTTTACTTCACCACAACCCTAAAAGAAACCCCTCTATCTTCTCATCCGCATCCACTCTCCTGCATGATCTGCTATAAGGCTTTTTTACCTTCCTCTTAACCAGTCGCAGTCTTGACCTAACTAGGAGATAACCAAGCATTACCTGGGACAATTATTGCCCCCTCTCTTTCAGTACCACAAACATTGAGGCCAGAATTCCACACAGAACACAAATAATCAGGACCAAGTCATTAAAAACTAAGTATGAATCTATTAAAGCTCAACACAGAGTTACGCTTCAACCTGGACTTGCACTCCTACGTATATAACCAAATGTATTTGCCAAAAGATATAGTAGGATATCCAGAACAGACGATTAGTAGTAAACAGAAAACAAATTTAATAAATAAATTATAATAAAGTCTATTAGAATTTGGGGCAAATCAGAATCATGTGCTACCTGGCAGGTTGCAATGAAAAGAACACAGCACATTTCTATGATATTTGTATTGAAGATGTATAACTTTCATTGAAATACATAGAAACAAACACAAATAAGTATTCCACACAGCTACTAGTCTATACACTTAGTCAGCTTTACAGTCCCCCAAACAGCCACCATTTCTGAGCTGACCTTTCTGCCTTAAATTTAACAGGTCCAGTAAGGTCACCGCAGAAGCCAGATTAGTAAATCCAATCAGTGTTCTCAGTTACTATTTGTTCCATAAAATTGTCGTCATCATTAGTTTTGATGTTGCTTAAAACATTGATGGAAAGATCCCTTCTCTAAGCTGGCTCCTCATCATGCAACACTTTCGGCACCCATAGAGCTGAAAGCTTACAGAGGTTTAGCTGCTCACTTAAAACTAAAAATGTCGAGCCACTGGGCATCTCCAGCTTCAGTTGCTGCTGTATTCGTGGTAAGTCTAAGGCCTTCTTCCATCAGTTTCTGGATTTCAGCAAGAAGTTTTTCATTAAGGACAATGGTCTTCCTTCTCTGAGTTCATCTTTGAGGTCTTCTCAGCCATCCTTACAATGCTTGTTCCATCTAAAAGCTGTTGTTTTAAATGGGATAGCATTGTGGCAAAGCTTCAATGATTTGGGCCAATGTCTTCTTGAGTTTTGTTTTGTTTTTTAATTTAATATTAGGCTTGACCTCAAAATTATTTTTGTCCAGGGGACAAAAATTACTAGTTTTTTTTCTGAAGACACTGCACCAGAACTGAGACAAGCATACACACTTCACAGACATTTTCCTGTAGCCAGCAACAGATCAAGACATGTTTACATCCTTTTTAAAATAAATAGGCCCATGAAGACATGAACTTTTTAAAATAAATAAATAGACCCATGAAGATATGAACTAGAAGCCCCTGGTAGCAATCTTTTTTGACTTCTCTTTGAACGTGGGGGTAATGAGGAACTAGGATGGCACCTTATTCACAAATGGCTTAGGGAAAAAGTTGTTTGCTTTTTTTAAAACTTCCAATTTTTTCTCAGTTTTTGATTATTTCAAAATTATTTTAAAACATGTTTGGGCAAGAAAAACAAATAGGAGTCTTGTCTTTTCTCATTATCTGTAGAGAGATCCTGTCTTCTATCTAGAAAGTTACAAACCTTTAAAAACAATATATAAAAACATTACAGAACCTTTTTCTGCAAAAACAAAGACATTTTCTTTTCTAGTGGTTTATTACAAAGACAAACTGAGTAGCAAATATACTTCATGTATATTACAATACCTAAGAAAAATTTAAAACTAAAGTTATTTTCCATGGAAATTCATAAAACAAACTAAAATTCATTAAAATTTTATTTAGGCTTTGCAATACAAAAAAATCAAGAGAATTGCCAGTAGAGCACCAAAAGCAATCAAAATATCATTATGAAAGTTAACTTATTCTCTGAAGAACACAGACCAAGGGCATATTGTTAAAAAATGTGAACGAGTCAAATGATAAAGTGAAAACTTACTGCCAAGGCCTTGGATAGTTTGGCTCTAAATTCATTCAGGATGATCACCACAATGTCCTTAAGTGGCACATATGCAAAGCCATCTTCCAAATAGACTTTTCTTCCTCGAAACAGATCTAGAGCATCAGCAAAGGGGATCTGAATCCAGAATGAAATGGGGAAAGTCAGCCAACAGTAGCCATGAAAAAAATCTCTGCAGTCTTTACGTGCAGTAAGACTACACAGAATTGTTCCTGTCAGACATGCATTAGTCTAAGGAGACCCAAAAGAAAAACCGAAAGATCAATGTATAGGCCTTAAAACAAAACATTCAGCATTAGGAAGGAAATGGGAGTTCAAATGGTTCATTTCAGAATAGATGATGCTGATGATATACCAGTTAGATTGCTTTATTCTTATTATTAACATATGGGTTTATACATTATAATCCCCAAGATTTAAATTTAGGAACGTCTGAGCACATTATTGGGAGAATGACGGGGTTTTCTACTCCTATAAAGAATTAGTCTTGGAAACTCACAGGGGCTGGTCTACCCGGCCCCACAGGTCGCTATGACTCAGCAGTGACTCAACAGTCATGAGTAGTAGTAGTAGTGCACACGCACATTACTGCTCCCTAGAAGTACAGTGGGTAAGCCCCCAGTTGCTAACGGAAAAGTCAGTGGTTCAAACCCTCTAGCTAGCTACTCAATGGAAGAAAGTTTGGGAGTTCACTTACCTAAAGGCTATAGCCTTGGAAACGCTATGGGGCAAGTCTGCTCTGTCCTGTAGGACCACTCTGAGTCAAAATAAACTTCGAGGAAGTAAGTTTGGGTTTTTAAGCACATTATATTCACCTCAAATGACATTCACATTATAATCTCCACCAAATAGAATCCCAATGTTAATGTTAACTAGTTCAATGTGGAAATTACTAGTAAGCAAAGTAATCCTAAATTTCTTCACCTATGATTCAATTCTTTCTCTAGAAAAACATATTGGGCATCAGACAGTGCAAGATATGACAAAATAATAATTTATAAATTATCAAAGGTTCATGAGGGAGAGGGGAGTGGGGAGGGAGGGGAAAAAATGAGGAGTGGATGCCAGGGGCTTACATGGAGAGCAAATATTTTGAGAATGATGAGGGCAATGAATGTACGAATGTGCTTTCCCAAATTGATGTATGTATGGATTGTAAGAAAAGGAAAGAAAAACATATTGGGAAAGTTAATCTCAAAACTGAAAAAAGGAAATAGTAAGTGTTGGGTTTTGACATTAAAATAAGCATTTGCCAGTAAATACTTAGAAGAATATCAATACTATACTACATTTATCTTTTATTAAGGAACCCTGGAGGTACATCGAGTTAAGTAACAGACTGTTAACACAAGGTCAGCAGTTTGAACCCACCAGCTGCTTTATGGAAAAAGATGAACCTGTCTGCTCCAGTAAAGATTCAGTCTCAGAAACCCTAGGAAGCAGTTCTAGTCTGTCCACTCACGTTGCTAAGAGGTGAAGTCAAATTGATAGCAGTGAGCTTTAGATTTATATCTTTTAGTGTCCCATAATCTATCTAAAAATTCTGAGATAAGCCATATATAGCAGAATGTAACTTGGCCAAGGAGGACCTTGACTTCATGCTCCAAGTAAACTGAAAAAATCCTTTTCACTCTCCAATATTAAAAAAAAAAAAAAAAGCCTAACTCCAATTGCCCTATTAATCCATATTTTAGGGAAGAACTGAGTCCAAATGCTTACAATTCTTCTGTATGTCAAACGACATGTTACCTTACCCTATGAACAGATCATGTTTTTAACCAGCTGATTTGGATTAATTTGCTGTTTCTATTATTTTAACACAGTCCTTGGATACAGGCAGTTAGTTCATCACTTAGTTGAGAAAATAAGACAGAAGCACATGGAAAGTCACACAGTTGGACAGGACTGAACTGTCTGTGATACTACACCATGTGAGTAGACTCCCATAGGGCATATTAGGGCAGCAGGTAAGAGGATTGGCTGCAATAACCCAAGCCAAGAAGAAAAAGCAAACAGACAGCGATGGGTAAAAGTCTGGGGATGGGGATTCTATTTGAAGCTCTATTGCTAACTGGGCCTGTGATTTTGGCAAATTTAATGAGCTCCTCTAAACTTTAGTGGCTAGATCTGTAAAACTGAGGGAGGAGAGAAAGATGAGCTAAATAACTCTGGGGGTTCTTCAGTTCTAACGTAACAGCCTTTTAGGGTAGTCACAGTGGAGATAAAATGCCCAAGCAGAAGCAAGAGATGTGAAGGCTGTATGACAGGAAACGTGTGGTGTGGGAGGAATGAATATTGATTCTCCCACTCTAAGCCTGGAAGGCTTACTGAATGATGCCCCAACTGGCCGAAATAGGGAAGCAGAAATGGACAGGAAAGGTTGAGGCAGAATTTTAAATTACTGGCACTCACTAATAATAAACAGCATTTTTCCCCCAGAAAGAAAGTGAGGGGTTGCAGGACTGCAACTCTCAAATATTAATATGAACTTCAGCTCTCCCCCCTCCTTCTACGTCTGAAATTAGTCGGAAAGTCATGCAGTGAGTTCAAGCAAAGTAGGTTGTCCGCTCTGGGAGTACAGGGGAAGATGGAGGTGGCCCAAGTGCAGGGTCCTGAAAATAGAAATGATTCAGAAAGGAATGATTGAACTAGTAAACCGTATGATGTATGGACTGTGTGCCAATAAGACTGTTAAAAAGAAAAAAGGCATCCTCAGGGAAGATCAAGCTAGCATAGTGTTAGCGCCCAAGTGCAATGAAAGGGAGTCCATGGGGGAGAGTGGCCCACAGCATGATATCAGAGGCCAAGAGCTGCAAAAAGGCTTTGCCTTCAATGTAATAATCCAGCACAGAAGTCAAGTGAGTGGCAAGATTATCTGTGGCAGCAGCAGCCTTTGCAGGGTATAGAAGCCAAGTGCTGTGGGGAGGGGCTTTCTTTAAGAAAATGGCCTCCAGCAGGAGTAGAGCAGCAGGGCTCAGAACACGAGGAGCCGTGGCGGGAAGGTGACTGTGCAGGAAAGCAGCCTACCCTGGTGATAGGGAGGCCCTATGGATATAAAGGTCACTGTAAAACAATGAACAAAACTGGAAAGTATTTCGAGCTTACACACCTTATAAACTGCCTCCAACTCCCACTGAGTCCCATTTGAACTTGGCGATGAAGCAATGATCTTTTCTTGCAGATTCTTCTTTTCGTCACTTATCTAAAAGGAAACAAATTTTACTGCTTAAGAAATTAAAATCCTCATTCAGTTTCAATAAAACGCTTTCCTGAAGAGCCCGGATGATAAAATGAAGGGGATATTTGCAACATCTAATAGACAGGTATTCTTTTTTAACTTCTAGATAGTAGTCTGTAAGTGTTAGTAACCCCAAAGTGGTAAACCACAAAAACCAACGTTCATCAACATAATAATAAATTGTCAATTAAGATAATAATGTAGTACTATTTTTGTCAGTTCTCTCGGGTTGGTATAACAGAAACAGGGGAAGTGGTTGGCTTTAGCAAACAGAAATTTCCTCTGTCAGGGAACCTGGGATAATAAATGCATGCTGTTTTAAGTCATTGCATTTATAGCAATTTGTTACACAGCAATAAAAATGTAATGTAGAAGAACTATATGAGTCTTAGGTTTCTATCATCACACATCTGTGCTCAATGAGAGGTCAGCAAAAGTTTTCTGCTCCCATCAGTCTTGTGAAGGAACGCTCTCCTGTTCTTGCTCGGAGCTGTGTGAGAACCTTGGCGTCCTGGTAGCCTCCAATTGAAGTTCCAGCTCTAGCATTCAATAGGCAAATGTTTGGGGTAAGTTCTTTGACGTTTTTTAAGACTTAGTGTCCTCAACAGAAAAAGAGCATAATAGTAGCAATAAATTTGCAGTGTTGTTCTACAGATAAAGGGAATATAAAGGGGCTGCAAAAGTTCAGGAAAAGATTCCATTATTTTTAAATTAATTTTTGCATGAACTTTTTGAAGCCTATCATATCAATTATATAGCACAGAGTATCATGCATATCAATTATATAGCACAGAGTATCATGCATATCAATTATATAGCACAGAGTATCATGCATATCAATTATATAGCACAGAGTAGGTGAACAAAAAAGCTCCTCTCCTTCCGCATTCCTTTCTTCACTCTTGCCATACCCCTCCCTGCTTTCTACATGCATCGTAATCTCACATGTTTAGATTTAGCTGATAATTTTTGTTTTTTATTATTATGATTATTGTTATTATTACATTCTGCCAGTTCAGAAACAGACGGCAAGTTGCTGGGGGATGGGAATAACATTGTCTTTTCCTTTATTGTGCACCCAGCACCTAGTACAATCCTTGTTATAACAGAGATGGGGACGTCACACTCCAGCTCAAATTATTTTCGCCTGCCTCTTAACTCAAATGTGTTTGCCATCTGTCTTAATTATATAGTGCTGTTAGTTAATACAGAAACACCACAAGTGGACGGCTTTGAACCAACAAAGATCAATTTACCCTCATAATCTAGGAGGGTATTAGTCTGAATTCAACTGCTCTAGGGGAAGGCTCACTGTCCCAACCCTATTTTCCTCTCTCCCCCTACTCCCTCTTTCCAGTTGTCCCTTCCCTCACCCTCTCTCCCTTATCCTCTCTCACCCCCACCCCAGTCCCCTTCTGTCCCTCTCACTCTCCCTTTCTGTTGGGTCCTGGAGAAGGTCCTTATCTCTTGAGTTTCTGACTCCTGGTGCCTTAGAAATCTCCATCCCAAACTGTAATCTTCAGAGAACAGTCTGCCAGGGAATTTACTACCAGGGAACCTTAGGTTCCAGTAACAGGGGACCACATAATTTAAACCAAATCACCGGCTAATAAGTCAAAACATCAACCAGAAATTGCTGACATGTAAAGTGCACTTTTATATTTGTTAATTCTGGGAAAGCAGCTTCAAAGAAACAGGTAAAGAGTAGACATTCATTCCCCATTTTCATCTAAGACACTGAAGACTTACTTAGGTGGGAGGGACTCGATCAATAGTTTATCAGTGTATGATGGCTATGTCACCCAGTTTTCCACTATGTACTGGGCCATGGAACTCGGCTCCTATATTTGAATTAAAATGACCCTAGAATAGCAGTGCTCCCAGATCCATGGAAGAAACCAATGAAAACTATGCCAGACAAAGATATAACCCTCCTAGGCCCTAATACATTCAAATCTCCACATAACTTTCCACATACAGTATCCAGCAAAAGGTCGACAAAAAACACACTGAAAACAAGACACCCTGAACGAAAATAAGAGCAAATAATAAAGTATATATAATGAAAAAGAAACAGCTGTTAATATTCACAAATATATGTTTAGTATACTTACAAAATCCAGAAGAATCCACAGATATATTCGCAATAATGACAGTTTCAAAATAAAATGTAAAATATGGTATAGAGAAAACAATATTGTATCTCTATCTGCAAGCAACAATGTTCAATAATGAAATTCTTTTAAACCATTACTTACCACCCCCCAAAAAACTATCACAAGCAAACTGAACCCATTGTTGTCGAGTCAACTCTAAATTATAGCCACCCTATATAAGGCTTCTAACACTATAAATATTTATAGGAGCAAACAGCTCCATCTTTCTCCCACAAAGCAGCTGGTAGATTTGAACTAACCACCTCACAGTTAGCAGCCTAACACTTACCCTGGGGTCACTAAGGCTTACTCAATAGCACCTGACAACATTATTTACAACAGGATCAAACTGTCAAGTATCTAGAAAAAACAACAACATAATAAAAGATGTGCAATGTCTCCATAAAGATAAATCAACCTTCCAGAGAGAAACTGGAGAAGATCCAAGTAACAGATTTCCTATAACCAACCACCAGAAGGTATAATATTATAAATGTACCATTTCTCCGCAAATTGATCTGTAGATTCAATACAATCCCAAACAAAAGCACAACATCTTATGTGTATGTGCATTTACAAGATGATTCTAAAATGCATATAGCTGTGCACTAGACCAAAAATAGCCAAAACAACTATCAAGTCGAAAAATGAGCCAAAGACAGTTTACAAATAAGAAAATTCAAATGGTCAATAAATATATAACAAGAAGTTCAACCTACTTAGCTATAAGGGAAATGCAATTAAGACTACACTGGAAACCACAATGAATTACCACTAACTGCCAATAAAACGTTACATGTGTTAAACTGAAAAGAGAGAAAAAATATATTTTCTAAAGTATAGAGGACCCAGAACTTTATAAATCATTGGTAGTGATATAAATGAGACACAGCCACTTTGGAAAGGGATCTCACAACTTCTTATAAAAACTAAAAATATCTGCCCATATGATCCAGCAATTCCACTTCTAGGCCTTGAAGCCCCCTCCCCCTCAAAAAGGAAAGCCCTGCATCAGGCAGTGTTTTCTTCTGTTGTACACAGGGCTGCTACAGTCAGAACTGACGTGATGACATCTAACAGCATGTAAGTATTGTTGGGAAAAATATCTACAAGATATTGCTAAAGAATATTAATTCTTTAACAAAGTATTACTTTAGTAAAGTAAATTAACACAATGTATATGGGATAAATCTTTAAGAGATTTCACGTTTATTTTTGTGTATAAATAACAAAAAGTCTAGACAGTCCTGTGCCAAAATCAGTCTAATGGTGGGCAAAGAAATTACAGATATATTTTTTTCTTCTTTATACTTTTCAATATTTGTCTCAATTATATAATAAAAGTAGTTACAATGATTTGATTACTATAAGAGCACTGTTGCTTTTGTGTGCCATCAAGTTATTCTGACTCAGGTGTCATTCAGGGAGCAAAAGACCTGCCCCCAGAGGACTTTCTGGGCTGTAGTGATTGCTGGGTCTGTTTCCCCAAAGAGCCACTGGTGAGTTCAAACTGCTATCCTTTTAGTTAGCAGCCAAGTCCTGGACTTCTTAATTTAACCCACGTTCTGAAGTCATGAATCAAGTACATGAATTATTTGTCTAGCACTATGTTAAAGAAAGGCATTTTTGATAAACATAGATAAATTATCAAATGAGAGTATGAGTATATAATTGCCTACAACTACCTCCCACCACCACTACCACAGACACCAATTATACAGTCAAAGCACCTACCACATTTCCCATTCTTTTCTTTTCCACGGCTGAGGAGAACAGTTAATGGGTAGCCCTGGGTGGACGGATCTGCTTTTATAAGTTGCCTAAACTAAGGCTTTGGTCTGAGAGAATTCTCTGATAGGGAGGCAGAGAATTGGGTATCTGTCTCGTGTGTGTGTGTGTGTGTGTGTGTGTGTGTGTGTGTATGTGTGTGTGTGTGTGTTGTGTCCTGTAAATCTTTACAAGACTAGGTAATCTCATGTGTGTCACACACACACACCGAGTAGCTCTCCTGTATACACTACAAGCTCTTTCTGCTGCTGTGACTGGGGATCTAACAATTGCCTGGTACTTGTCCTAAAATGTTCACTATCACTGATAAGGTACATGAAGGGCCTCAAACTAAGGCAGCAACCCTTCTTTTAAAAAGCAAACAAATTTTAAAAGTTACAAAGCACCAAGTACAGGTTGTCTTTTTTTTTTATCGTTTTATTGGGCGCTCTTACAGCTCTTACAACATTCCACACATCAATTGTCTCAAGCATATTTGTACATATGTTGCCATCATCATTTCCAAAACATTTTCTTTCTATTTGAGCCCTTGGTATAAGCTCCTCTTTTTTCCCATCCCTCCCCTACAGTAATAATAGTAATCAATTATTACTAATTAGTATCCTACACTGTCCATTGTCTCCCTTCACCTACATTTCTGTTATCCGTCCCCTTTTGGGGGCGAGGGGCTATATATACAATCTTGTGATGAGTTCCCTCTTTCTCCTTCCCTCTCCCCATACCCTCATGATATTGCTATTCCCACTACTGTTCCTGAGGGGTTTATCTGTCTGAATCCCATGTGTCAAGAGCTCTCATCTGTACCGATATGTGTTCTCCAGTCTAGCCAGATTTGTAACATAGAACTGGGTCATGGTAGTCGGGGGAAGGAAGCATTCAGAAACTAGAGGAATAATGTGTGTTTCGTCCGTGCTATACTGCACCTTGGTTGAATTATCCCTTCCTTACAACATTTCTGTGGGGGGATATTCAACTGTCTACAGATGGGCTTTGAGTCTACAATCCAAACCCTCTCATTCA